CGTGCGTGCGTGGCTGAGCCTCTCCCGCGGCCACGCAACTTCCCAGGGAATCCAGCAGCCGAGGCTGCTCCGGCAACTGCAAAGCCTAGGGGAGAAGGGCGCGGAGAGGGGACAGCTGTCCGTCCTGCGGGCACGAGCCGCCCCCAAGAGCTTCTTTCGGTACCTGCAGCCGCACCCCCGGTTCTCTCAGCAGCGCCCACCCATCCTCAGAAACTCCCCCGAGCCCTCCCACTTGTCACTGGTCTATAATAAGCTGGGTCTGTGGCATTCATGCCGCGAGCCAGGTCGTATCGTCAGCTGCGTGTCTGGGGTCTAGCCTCAGACCCTCTCCATCAGTGAGGAAGGAAGGGCTGGAGTTAACGGGACTTTCCACTACTGTACAACTGGTGACCAAAAAGCTCACCCGGGCCCTTTCAACTCCCAACCCCACGGCTTGAATTTTAGCCTTGTTGAGCCCTGTGCACACCCTTCCTGAATTTATTTGGGGTGGGTTCTGAGGCTCAGATTCAGGTTATCGGGCTTAACGACAGATTTCTTCACCCTCTAACCATTTTTACTGGCCTGTCACTTCATTCCTTAGCGTCAATGTGGCTTTGGCCTTGACAGCCAGGAATGACACCCAAGCTTGTGTCAGCTGGAAGCACGCAGACAAGAGGCATGATTTAGAGGCTTAGCAGAGACCCCACTGCCCTCAAACGTTTCCTTAGCCAGCCTGCTGGAGTGCCCAAATTTCCCTCCACCATCAGTCACTTTCTGACTGAGGCAGGGTCAGACTGCCCTTGTTCAATGCAAATGTGTTACCTAGCTGAGGTAACACATCAGCCCGCCAACACCAATTTATCACTCGTTTTCACATTGGCGGGGAATAAGGCAATGAGATAATAGGACGGGTGAACGCTGGTGAAGAAGCAGGGAAAGCAGGCAGAATGAGTCACCCACCCACCGCCTCCGGTGAGAAAAGGCTCCCGGAGGGGCAGGGCAGGCTGCAAAGGGGCTGGGGATGGAAGACAATAAGGATTCTCTAATTAGGTGTCTATGGTTGGGATAAACACCATGACTCAAAGCAACCTGGAAGGGAAGGTTTTGTTTGGTTGACAAGTTCACATCACAGTCTGTCACAAAGGAAGTCAGGCAGGAACTCAACACAGAAACCTGGAGGCAGGAACTGAAGCAGGGCCTTGGGGGAGTGCTGCTCACTGGCTCGCTCTCCAAGGCTTGCTCAGTCTATTTCCACCCAGGACTACCTGCCCAGGGGTGGCCCCATCACAGTGGGCTGGGCCCACCTATATTATTAATCAAGAAAACCCAGGGGCTGGAGAGATGGCTCAGTGGTCAAGAGCACTGGCTGCTCTTTCAGAAGACCTAGGTTCAATTCCTAGCACCCACATGGCAGCTCACAACTGTCTGTAACCCATCTCCAAATGATTTGACACCCTCACACAGACATACAAGGAAGCAAAACACCAATACACATAAGTTTACAGATCACTTTAAAAAAAAAAAAAAAAAAGGAAAGGTAAGGAAAGGAAATGCCCACAGGGTTGCCTATAGGCCAATCTGATGGCGGCATTTCCTCTTTCTCAGATAATTCTAGCTTGTGTCAACAACAACAACAACCAACAACTACAACTAACGGGGCACAGGGTTTTCTCCTGAGTAAGGAGGGGGCACACCTCACAAACCATCTTTGTACTCAGTGCCCAAGGCTTTGGGACACTTACTAGTGAGAGTAGGGTGTCATATCTGTGCGTGGTAGGGGTCTGGTCTTGGATAGTGCTGCTCCAGACTGAGTACTTTCTAGAAGCCATTCAGGCTTCCCTAGTTCTTCAAAGTGGAGAAATTTGAATGGGGTCCGGGAAGGTGGCTCCACAGGGAAAGGCATCTGCCACCAAGCCTGACAACCTGAGTTCCAGCCTCAGGACCCACATGGGAGAAGGAAGGAACTGACTCCCTCAAGTTGTCCTCTGACCTTCACACATGCGCCATGGTGTACATGCGCACAAAAGAAATAAAACGTGCCAGGCAGTGGTGGTGCGTGCCTTTAATCCCAGTAAGTGCAGCCAGCAGGGTAAAACAGCATCCACCTGCCTCTGCTTCCTAGTCAAAGTAATACTCTACAACAAGAGGGTCTCTGTAAGTTCCAGGCCAGCCTGCGCTACAGAGAGAGTTCCAGGACAGCCAGGACTATTACACAGAGAAACCCTGGGCTACAGAGAGAGTTTCAGGACAGCCAGGACTATTACACAGAGAAACCCTGTCTTGGGAAAAAAAAAATAATAAATAGATAAAATGTAATAACAACGAAAACCAGTGTCTATTCCCACCAGACACCCTCCTTTCTCCCAAGCTCAAGAAGAGATTTGTTTACACCAGATTTATACTTACCGAGGGTAGGACTGGATACCTCCCTAGTAGGTATGACCGTAGTGTACCATCTGGGAAGGTGGCCTTCCCTCAATCAGGATTTACCAGATGGAAAAGGACCCTCCTAGCTGGCGTGATGATGCTCATCTGGCATCCTGGCACTTGGGAGGTAGAGGCAGAAGGATCGGGAATTCAAATGCAGCCTTAGCTACATAGTGAACTCGAGTACAGCCTAGGCTGCATGAGACTCTGTCTCAAAAAGAGGTCGCTCCCCACTGCCTGCTTCCTCTGGACCTTGCTCTATTGGATCTGTCCACACGGGTAACAGAGGGATTGCCCCCTCTACCATTGAGTGGCAGGCTCAGGGCCAGCGAGAGGCAGAGGGAGAGAGCGAGAGATGCTTGATCTGACAGGCTGTCCAGCCTCCTGCCCCCTTTTGTCAGCCTCATCCGTCCAGTGAAGTTCGGTGCACACACACACATGCCCCCCTTGCTGCGTATGTCAGGCGAGGAATTATCAATCTTGCATTATGCAACCTTGAACACAGCAGCTCTGTGCCTCAGTTCCCCCACTGTGAATCAGGCTATTTATAGCACCTGTCTCCCGAGGTTGCTGTGAGGATGGAGCCTGTGGAGGCACGCCGTTGTTCCCGTCTGCCAAGGCTGGCACTGCAGGTGCCCTGCCCGGATCTCCTCTACATTCCCCTCTACACACTAAAATGCAAGTTACTGAGACACCCCTTCGACTGTCTGACGGCTGTAGCGATGAGCTGGGAGAGGACTGCAGTGCCCCGGAAGCACCCACAGCAGGAGACAGATGCCCCCAAGTGTGACACTGAGCCACACTCCCCACAAGATCCTGATAAAACTGTGCTCCCGCTTCTCAGGGGGCCATTGCTCTGTGGTGCCAACTGCTAGGGAACAGCTGCCTTCTCTGCCCTGTGTCATCTGCCTTTCTTCAGTCATTGCTCTTGGATCAGCTCTCACACAAACCACTGCACTTGAGTCCCAGTCTCAGAATCCCAGGTCAACAGCCCTGGGCCACGGCAGACTCAGCTGTGAAACTTACCAAAACAGAAGCACTACTCTAGTTAGGTCCCAGAGGTCACACGGGGGGGCTCATCTGGGGTTTTTTGTTTGTTTGTTTTAAAGATTTTATTTATTTATTATGTATAAAACATTCTGCTTCCATGTATATCTGCAGATCTCATTACAGATGGCTGTGAGCCACCATGTAGTTGCTGGGAATTGAACTTAGGACCTCTGGAAGAGCAGCCAGTGTTCTTAACCTCTGAGCCATCTCTCCAGCCCCCATCTGGGGTTTTTATTACTGTGTTTTGTTTTGAGGCAGGGTCTCATAAAGCCCAGTGTCTTAGTTACTGTTCTGTTGCTATGAAGAGACACCATGACCAAGGCAACTTGTAAGATTTAATTGGGGGCTGGCTTACAGTTTCAGAGGGTTTGTCCATTATCATCATGGTGGGAGCACGTGGCACACAGGCAGCCACGTTGCTGGAGAAGTTGCTGAGAGCAGCCGTCAGAGAGAGGGAGACACTGGACCTGGCCAGGACTTCTGAAACCTCAAAGTCCACCCCCAGTGAGTGACACACCTCCTCCAACAAGGCCGCACCTCCTAATCCTTCCCAAAGAGTTCACTACCTGGAGACTACGCATGCAAACATATGACCGACCCTATAGAGGCCACCCTCCTTCAAGCCACCACACCCAGGCTAGCCCCACTTGCTATATAGTGGGGCTGACTCTAAATTTCTGATCCTCCTGCCTCAACTTCCCCCCGGGTACTGGGATTACATCCCTAAAATACCACACCCACCATAATTTGTGTGTGTGTGTGTGTGTGTGTGTGTGTGTGTGTGAGGTCTCTCTATAGCCCTGACTGGCCTGAAACTCACCAGGCAGGCCAGGCTGACCTCAAACACACAGAGATGCCTCTGCCTCTCAAGAACTAGAATTAAAGGTGTGT